ATAAGCACACCAGTTCGATTTTCGAGTTGTTTTTTTTCCTGGGTATAACACAAGTAAAATTTGTCTATTACACAAACTTGTATTTATTCACATTATCATTGAGGGGGCTTAAAGATTGCCGTTATTTTATTTATTCAGGCGGATGAGGATTCTTCACTCAGGGTGACTCGTCATAAGAAAAGGCGTCTCGTGTTTGATTCAAGTGATGATGAAAAGGAGGATTCTTCTTGTGACATATCCGATCTTTCTCAGAAAAAGTCGATTGCGAATCTGTATTCATGTCCAAACAAAAGATTTGCTAGAGATTTAACGAATTCACCGAAACTTTCCTCTTTGCCAGCTGGATCAAAATCCCGTTCTGTTGGACACATCAAGAAGTGTTACTCAGGAACTCCAAACGATACCTTTGCCATGGCCTCATGTTTTGGATTGGGCCCGAATGATGGAAGTAGGAGTTTTGCTTGGCCGCATCTCACTTACCAATTTTTACTACCCGACCGTATTAAAGATGCTTTTGGGCGTTGTCCTAGCCACCCTGATTACGATCCAAGGACTCTATTTGTCCCGGAAGACTTCATTCGAAAGCAGTCACCCGCTCTACGCCAGTGGTGGATTCTAAAATCACAGAATTTCGACACTTTATTGTTCTTCAAGATGGGGAAGTTCTACGAACTCTACCATATGGATGCTGTCATTGCTGTAGAAGAATTAAAATTAACCTACATGAAAGGAGAATTTGCACATTCTGGATTTCCAGAGATCGCCTTTCAGCGAATGGCGGATCATCTCCTCCATCGTGTACGGCTGGTTAAATAACGCCTAATATGTCTGTTTGCCATAGTTTCAATGTAATTATTGGTTTTAGGGTTACAAGGTGGCTCGAGTGGAGCAAACAGAAACCCCAGAAGCTATGGCTAAACGGATAAGTGGTCACTCAGGCGTTGATAAAGTTGTCCGTCGGGAAATCTGTCAGGTTATCACTCCGGGTACTTGGTTTGCGCCTCTGCGCAATGGGATTTCCTCAGATAACGCCCTTGATGCACCTTGTACAACGTCCTCTCAGTCTGCTAACTATCCAGAAATGGAAACTGACCTTAGTTTCAACCGCTATCTTCTAGTACTTCTCGTAGGGTCAGACAGTGAGAGATCAGAAACTCAGCTGGGTATCGCTCTTTTGAAAGCAGCTACTGGAGAAATCATGGTAAGTTCCCCTCCACTTTTCTGCAGGCTCTTTCAGCATTTGCTCCAATTTTTAGCTTAGTCGGTGTGTGCGTGATGTCAAATTGTTTTTCAAAGGTACATTGGAGAATAATCAGGTGTTATCGACAATTTGTGAACCTCTGTGAGAAAAGTGAACCAAGTTTGCTATGTATAGTTTACTGAAGCAGGCGTTCAAATGGATTTATGGTACACGGGAGTGACTCGTCAGCATCAAACGACTGATATCAGCAAATTAGGGTTCATGCTCGGTCGGACTTATTTGATT